AAATATAACTTAATTTATATTATATTTATTACATTAAAATAAATTTTTGTGATGTTTTTGTTAAAATATTAGATTTGATATATAAAAAATATTAAATGTAATCAGAATTATAAAAGCAATTAATCATTTAATAAGAAGCATTTATTATTATTTTATTATTATTATTATTATTTATTATTATTATTTTTACATTTATTATTATTTATAAGAATAGAAAGAATGTTTTATTATTTGAGATCTATTATCACATTGTTTCATTTTTGCTGAATTAATAATTTCAAATATAAATTTAACTGTATTTATATCATATTTATTTCCAATTAACTAGTATAATTTTAATATAATTATTTTTATGGATTTATTTTGTTTCTAGAATTTTGTAAATATTAAAAAATGGCATGGACACATTATCAATGTATTCTAGCTATGCTTATGGTTGTTACTGGATCTTTTAATACAATATCCGTAAAGTAAATAAATTAATGTATTTATTAAGTTATCAAAATATGTTTAATTACATTTATGTTTTTAATTTAGATATGCAGATGAACAAATTGTACCAGGTGAAGATAATCAGCCAAGACATTTTAATCATCCTTTTATGCAATCAGCTTTTATGTTTATTGGAGAAATGATATGTTTTGTAGTATTTAAAATACTTTATCATTATTACAGTTACAGAGGTGTAAGTTTTTTTATTAAATATATATATATATTTAAAAATAGATAATATTTAAAATTAAATTTATTATATTAAAGGATAATTCTGTGGATAATAATCCTTTAACCAAAGGTTCACATATATTTAATCCTTTTATTCTATTGATTCCTGCTTTATGTGATACATGTGCTACCTCTATTATGTATATTGGACTGACTATGACATATGCAAGTAGTTTTCAAATGCTTCGTGGTGCTGCAATTATATTTACAGCTATACTTTCAATGGGTTTTCTTAATAGAAAACTAGGTAGTAGAGAATGGATTGGTATAATAATGGTTATAATTGGTTTAGCTCTTGTTGGACTCAGTGATATAACTATGGAAAAATCATATATTAGCACAAATTCTATTTTAACTGGTGATTTACTTATTATATGTGCTCAGGTAATATTACATATTCTCTTATTTTATAATGAAATGAAAATTTGAAAATTAAATATTATTATAGGTCATAACAGCTGCTCAAATGGTGATAGAAGAAAAATTTATAACAGGACAAAATATACCAGCATTGCAAGCAGTTGGATGGGAAGGTATTTTATTATTATTTATGAAATATAAAAATTTAACAATAAATATGATACATAAAAATACATATTCTAACAAAAATATATTTTGTTTAGGTATATTTGGATTCATTACTATATGTATTATAATGATTCCTCTTAATTTTATATATGTTCCACCACCATTTGCTGACAATTCCCAAGGAACTCTTGAAGCCACTCATGATGCATTTATTCAGATTAAAAATAGTGGTCATTTATTGATGGCAATATGTGGTTAGTATATATATATTATCTTTATTTACAATTATTTACAAATTTATTCTTTAAATAATTTTTAGGTATGTCATTTAGTATAGCTTTTTTTAACTTTGCTGGTATTAGTGTTACTAAAGAAATAAGTGCTACCACAAGAATGATTTTAGATAGTATTCGAACAGTTATTATATGGATTATTTCTTTAGCATTTAGATGGCAAGCTTTTCATTATTTACAGGTAAATAGTATTATGTATTAATTGATTTTTATATTTTTTTTTAAATTTTTCTTGTTAATAATGAAACTTTATTATTGAATTTTTTAAATTACAAATGAATGCATGTTTATTTAATTTTCAGCTCATTGGTTTCACTATTTTGCTCATTGGAATGTGTTCTTATAATAATATTGTTATTCCTCAATTAATAAGAAAATGTGGATATCGCCTAGGTCGTCATAGACCGCCAGCAAATGATCGTGAACGCATTATTAATACAGCAGCAGATGACATTTCTGAAACTCAATAATATTTACTTTTAAATATTTAGATATTCATTATTTTATATTATTGAAAATTATTTAGTTTTTCTAACAAATAGTAAAAACTATAATTTTTTCAGTTTATTTTATTTGTAAAATTGATTATTATATTTAATAGAATTAACAATTTTATAAAATGAATGAAAATAAATAGTACATATATTTTTAAAATATAATAGACAAGACCCATTAATGGAAGTGGAAAACAAAATTCAATATATATATTATACAAATATGATAAAATTCATAATATACAATTTTTAAACATTTTTTTAAATAATATTTTACATCAGAATATATATAAATTATATAATTATATATAATTATATATAAATTAGATTTATTTATGTAAACCATTTATTTATTTATATAATGAAGAAAGATTAAAGAGTAAAAGAGAATAAATCTGCTCAAATTAACGTATATGAATAAATATGTTTTGATTGAAAACTTCAAATTTTTTGTTTATAAAAAATTGATTGCAAAATATAAATAAATTTTAATTTTTATATATAGTTTTTTAAATATAATATTAATATAAGTTATATAAATTAAATATAAATTTTTATATAAGTTTTTTAAAAATTATTTTGAATTGCATATCTTTATCAAAATTTATAAACGTGTGTGTATGTGTGTGTGTATTTGAATTATAATTAATATAAAAATATTTTTCAATTATTGGAATTGTTTCAATTGATCTTTATTGCAGAAATTATTAATAGTTTCAAATTTCAAAGTTCTTATGACTACTATTGAACGAAATGGAGATATTCTATAACTAAATGTGTAAATATATTTTATTATCATAAAACAAATATATTAAGATATGTTAACATAAAAAAATATTAAATTATTTTTTCGTAAAATAATTTTATTATTTTATAATAAATTTAAAGAATCGAAGAATAATTTTTTTCTTCTAAATAACTTTTTTTTATTTTATATATTTTACTTTTTTAGAGATCAATATATATATATACAATAATAAATATATATTAATAGTTATTTTTTATTTTGTTTTATTATATAATATTATACAATTAACAAAGAGATATTAAAAGAGAAGAATGGTATTTAAATATTACATAAATTTATTATTGCCTATACTTTACATGTAGTTAATTTGTGCAAAAAAAGTATTAATATACATATATGTAATATGAGTATAAAGCACATATATCTATATATATGTCATATATACACGTACATTCATATGCATGTATTACAAAGTTCTTTAAATAATAATATTGAGATTTCAGAAATTAAAAAAGATTATATTTTGTGCAGTTATATTTTGCAAAAATTATAACTATGAAATATATTAGTACATTGCAAATATATTGTGATTACAAATATTTTTAATTTATATTTCATTTCCTGATCAAATTACAAATGCTTTATGGAATGTTTAAGAATAATTTTTACATATTCATTTAAGTTATTACCACCTTAATTTTACAATCATGTTTTTATCGAATACAATTTCGACCAGCGATAAGAAACTAAATCTATGATTATTTTCATTTAATATTATATAAAAATTAATATATTATATATTTAGTATAATATATTATATTATAGTAAAATTAATGTTATACATACGTAATATTTTTTTCTAATAATTTTTCATTTTAATTATGAGTAAAACATGTATATGACATAATCATCAAAACTATTTAAATTTTTTAAATGAAAATGTAATATTTATTATGCATTCATGCGACAAACGACTTAAATGGAACATGAGTTTAATTATATTGTTCCGGCAATACATAAGAAATATCATCCCAAGGATGTCGATATAAACCTTGTTTCAATCGTTTTTGATCCATATAATGACCTGAAGTAATAAAATAGTTTTTTGTTACATTGTTACATTTTTTAAAATTATTATATTAAACAAAATATAAGTACATACCAATAAAACCTATACTCCTACCAAGAACAAATAAACTATTTATAGCACCAATTTCAATATATTCCTGTGCTTCCTCTCTCGTGAAACTTCCACTGTTTCTCAACATATCAACGAAGGCACAAGCAATTATACCATCCACATTTAAAATTAAATTAGGCTTCTTACTTGTGGTTATTTTCTCAACTTCTAGTGCATATTCTACCAATGGTCTTGCAGGGAAATTATCCATTACATATTCTTTAATAAGTTTTACTCGCATATCTGGATTATTTATAGATTTTATACGATGTCCAATACCCATTATAAGTTTACCCTTTTTACGTGTATTATTTACAAATTCTTGTGGATGTAATCCAGCATCATAAGCTTCTGAGAACATACGAGCTGCACCATCCAATGCTCCACCGAAACGATCACCCTATTAGTAAAATTTTTATGAAATTAATGTTCTTTCTATATATACATGTGCACATACATATGTGCATATGTATAAAATTAAATGATATAAAAAATATCGTTAGTTTACTCACAATAGTTAGAAGTCCAGATACTAGAGAACTAACTAAATCTTTACCAGCTCTTGCACAAACAATAGTATTATGTGCTCCTGACACAGCAGGTCCATGGTCAGCCGTTAACATTAAAGACATTTCAAGGAATTTACAATATATTGGTGGTAGGCATCGTTGGAACCATAATAATGAAACTACACCACCAATTCCTACATTTTGTTTAAGAACTTCAGTTACAGGCATTCCAGCATATAATAATTCTTGACCACGTTCATCGCATATCGATGTCATAAATGATGCTGGCTTTCGTATCAAACCAAGTTCCTAAAAAAATTAGTTTTTTATAATAAATAAATATACAAATCATGTACTTAATAATATAATATTACTTAATATATAATATAATAAATATAATAATATAATAATATAATATAATTAATAATATAATATATATAATAATATAAAATATATAATATAATAAATAATATAATAATATAATAAATATACCCTAGCCCAATTGTAATCCATGGGAACAGTTGGAGGTGGAACTTCTGGTTCAGGCACTATTGTTCCATTTTTAACAAGGTTATTATAAACAGTCTGCATTAAGTCACCTAGATTATCAAAACTATCAGGAACATAAGCACCAGCTTCTTTTAATGCAATATTTTTGGCAGAAGCTGTTTCTAAATTGGTGTGAGCAATAGATCCAGCATGACCAAATTGTACTTCAGAATTGAACATACTAGCACAAGTACCAATACACCAAGCAATTAATGGCTTCGTAATTTTTTTTGTTTTTAATGCTTGACAGACTTCATATTCTTCTACACCACCAACTTCACCAAGAAGAACTATAAGTTTTACTTCTGGATTTTCTTGATAACGCATAATGTGATTCATAAATGTTGTTCCTGGATAACGATCTCCACCAATTGCAACACCTTCTAATACTCCATTAGTTGCTTTGGAAATTATATTATTTAATTCATTGGACATACCTCCAGAACGAGATACATATGCAACACTAAAAATATTAATATCTTAATATAAGAAATTAATATTAATTAACAGCATTATTAAAAAAGCAGAATATATTATATTGAATAATAGAATGGAACAATAAAATAATAAATATACCTGCCAGGCCTATAAAGTTTACTGTGAAGAATATTATCCATCATTCCGCCAGTATTACCAATCTTGAAACAACCTGGTTTAACTCCTCCAACGGTAGCTGGACCGATAATTGTAATACCTTTTTGTTGAGCCATTAAAATTAATTTTCTTGTCATATTTTCGGGTATTCCCTCAGCAATAATTGCAATTGTTCGAATTTGAGGAAATTGCATAGTTTCTACTGCACTATCATATGCAGATCTTAAAGATGCAAATGTAACCATAACATCTGCATCTGTATGTTTAGTCATGGCATCTCTCATTTGTTTATAAACAGGAATAAGAACCTATTATATTAAAAAAACAAAAAATAAGAAATTCGAATTATATTTTCAATAAACTTTATTAAATAATTTCTTATTTATTTAAATTATTTAAATAATTAATAAGTTAATTATACCTCCTTATGACCCCAGTAAAATTTTTGTTTATGGTCACCCGTAAAAGGATATACGATAGCAGCTACAGATGGTTCGGATCTACGACAGACGAAGTCGAAGTCTAACATACTCTGAACGGCTCTAGTTTGCATTCCCCAGATAATGGCCCTGGTTTTACTACTGAAAAGCTGTTTATGTGTTGATGCGTCAACAGATTCGTTCGCTTTTAGTTTGGATTGTTTGGTAGGCGAAGAACAAGTACTTTTAGAAGGAGCTGAAGGACCCATATCTTGTCCCGACGGTAATAAAAAGTTTGCAGTTGAAAATTCCTGTGCTTCAGGATCTGGAATTGGCTTTTTACTTAAGGCCATTGCACAAATAGCTGTCATATGAGTTTCTGGACCGAATACGTGAACAGGAATACCAAGTCTTCTACCAACTTCACGTATAATTCTAGAATTCGAAAAATATACAGATCATTTATAAAATGTTTTTTAAATAATACATAAAATTATATTATTTAAATATATTTATACCTTAAACCTTCTTGATAATTAGGTCCAGCTCTTCTTACAAATATTTGTATATTATGATCCACAAGTTTAGGTTGATATTCTTGTAGTGCCTTTACGATTCCTTTGAATGTTGCAGCCACGTTTGTAAAATTAGCAATACCACCACCAATGATTAATACTTTTCCTTCTTTTCGCTTTTCTTTCGTCATTAAACTTAGAATGGTTTTTGCATATTCATACGTTTGTTGTTCACTGGGAGCACCTGAATATTCTCCATAATTAGCTAACTCATTTGCGGCACCCAAGTCGCAAATTGTATCTGAGTAAATTACAGATGCACCTGAAAAGAAAAGAATTAAAAAATAAAAAAAAGAAAGCAAATTTAACAAACAAACGATTTGACAATCATAATTTAGTTATGAACACAATTAATCATATAAATGATGTATGCTTTTACTGACCACCACCAGCAACCATGGTCCATATTCGACCAGCTGGATTAAGAATAGTCAATTTCAAACTAGCTCCAGATTTAGCATCTAAGTCGGCGATATAAGC